TGGCTAGCCGAAGGCTCCGGTTGTGGATTCCTCAAGAAAATTCACCTGCTCGGGCCTGGGCAACCTGGCAGTACTCAGCCCACAAGCCTATCATGAAACATTTTCCTTTTTATAAAGACTATTGTACCATGATTTGTTTGGCACACAGTATATCCTCAGACAAATATAATATATATATATATAATATAATGAAATATAATTATATTATAATAAATCGACTGTATCCCTTGATTAGTACTTCCCACCATTCCTTGAATGAAAATACTCACCACTAAAGGTCAATAAATAAGTGTTCCGAGACAGATGGTGAGACACTTTTCGTGAAAGCGTTTCTTGGAGGGAGAATGAAACCTCAAAACCTCTGGATACATTAAGGTTTTTGAACGCTTTTTGCGGTCTCTTTCCGAAATTTCTATTACTAACCGAATACTACTACCACTACTACTACTACTACTACTACTGATATAAATCCACAAGGCGATGCGCAATGGAGGATTGTTGTTTAATAAGGATTACAGATGGGACATCACCTATTTGGCATACATAACGCAGAAATCTCATCAGAGGCATATCATCGCAGTTCTCGGCCGCACAACGGACAATGAATGTAGCAATCGATATTTATTCTTTGAGACCCAATAATTCGCCCTCGGTGATTTTGATCGTCGAAATAAATCACCAACTATGTTAACTACTAGTCACAAACGTGAGTAGCTCCTCACGACACTACTGCTACCACTAATAATCATAATCATAATGATAATAATCAGTTTCTGAAAGTTGTCCATAACTTATTTTGCTTTAACTTGATGCTTTTCTCATCCGAGGCTGGTATGCTTCAGGGGCATATTAAAGATTAGATCTCCAAAATAATAGAAGTACGTCATGTTTTGAACTTTTCCAGAGAATCAAACACTGAAACAAAATCAATTGTCCTTCAGGTTATGCTTCATAAGGAATACTTAGAAATTTTCGAACAAACTTAGCTCGATGTCTTAAAGTTGAAAGTTTTATTATAGGAATAACTTACAAGCTCATGCTTTTCTCGTCTCGTAGGTTCGTGTTGTGATTAAAAGATAGTGTTGCATATAATTTCACATGTAAAAATGTCACATGATACGGACTTCTGCTGCTGCACGCAGGTTCACTTGTGTAAGGCGTGCTAATGCTTCTTCTTTCTTAGATTACCACTCTTCTGGTCGAATAAGGGCTTACAAAGGAACTAAGAGGTTCGTTTGGAAACAGGACTAGTTTTCACATTGACTGCTCCATTTTTCATGGCTCAACTGTTGAAAAATATTTTAAACATTCTCTAATAGATTGCCGTTGAATGGGTAACTGTGAATTGTGGTACACTGACCACCTGTTATGTTAGAATAAATGGGGCTTGTTAATTCATGCAATTGGCATGTCTAAAAGCTTTGTTGCTGCTTTCGATATGCGCTTTGCGCCTTCCATGAATTGGCTGTGGCTAATACCTCGCACGTAAGTGCGAGCGTTGTACGCTGAGCTGAATTACCATTAGCATCGGCGTAAATTTTCATCGGGACTGTGGAGTCGCGTGCGAGTGCGACCGTGTTTTGTTTGCTTGTGAAAGAAATCCATCCACTGAGGGCTTCTGACCATCGCTGTTTGCACAGCACGACAGAGTGGTCCGAGTAGATCAGTATACTGGGTTGAATGTGAAAAGTCTTCTTACTTTTTTATTTATTGACTATACAAATGTACAATAAACTTTCAGGAAGGGGTTCACGGTCATACAAAGGCTACCGGGGAAGATACAGGAATGGTTAGGATGGGCAGCGATGGAGCGGTTCAAACCCGAGACTTCCGGGTTACTACTTTTGAGACCTTAACTATTTTTGTTTAGGAGTATCTCGGTTGAATATTCGTTATCGAATGTTTTGCGTTCACTAGTTAGAGCACATATGAAATTCAGCCCAAGCATTAAAGCCCCATGTTTATTTGTTATTCAAGGTCAGAGACCATGGAGAATTTCAAGGTTGCATTTATACATTTGCCGCACAGAAGGCTCGATATAAAAATATTTGCAGATGTGTTTACGGTGCCCAAAATCAAGGGAAATATAATCACATCAAGTCTCACTTGGATGCCCTAGTCACATTCTAACTGGGAAACCACATATCCAACGTTTACATATCAAGCTTGATGACGATGATGATGAGCGCGTTATGTGATGAACGTTTGTCAACTTTGCCTATAGCTCTACAGACTACATTCTGCTATCGCATGGAGTCAACGGTATCAAACGATGGATTTTTTTACAAATTAAACGCTGAAATTTCTCAACGGATTGCGAGTCAGTAAGTGGCTCGCGAAACCACGATCATAACAAGCACCATGAGTTTCCATCATCATATCTGAGACCAGGCTGAGGCAAACAAATGAGAAATTTTATCGACCACGAAATCAGTCTATGATTTGCTTGTGGGCGAATGACTCCCATGTTCCCACTGAAAGCAGAATTGAAAAATGGAAAATCTTACCGCTTAGTGGCACGTTGTCCACGCAAATCTGCTTTGATTAAACTTTCCCGTGTGTGCAAACACTGCTCTCGCTCTAACGCTTCCAACCGATCTGATTCCAACTGGGCGGCGACAATCGCATTCTCGGCTACTTTCGAATCCGCGCTTTCGTCCGCATCGGAGCGTTTGACGACCAACCCAGATGGTGCCCGTTCCATATGAACCGTATTGCGAGCCGCCAAATCGTAAACAAGCACTGAAGGCTCAGGAGCTTGAACAGATCATATATGGAATAAGAGAGATACACGAAAACGATACGTGGATGACATAAATGACAATACAGATAAACCTGCCTCAATGAATACACGTGGAGGACGTCCGTACAAAACACGGGGAAAATGACGTGGCAGGGATAAAAAGACTCTCAGCTTCAAACCACCAGGCTTGGACAATTGGCATGTACCGCGCTTGTGATTTACAAACGAAGCCTGAGAGTAATCTGCTTCTGTTTCAATACAAGTCACTCCGTATGGACATGGCTGGATAGGTTGGGCATAAAACTGGGACAACTATGTTTTGCGTCACGAATTTACAGTCAGACCCAAAATGAATGCTCTTGTTAGAATTGATTGANGAGTTCTTTTGATTCTCTGTATCTGTTTGATTTCAATGTCGTTTCCTTCTGTACCCAATCATACCGTTATCCATCATTATGGTTGTTGCTTTGACACCACGCTTGTCCGCATGTATACACAGTCAATCTCCTGCTATGTGGCACCCCTGAGAAGTCACATTTTCCAATACCTTCCCGCTCTTTGGAAACCCAAACTAACCGTATGCATAATAACGTAGTTTCTGACCCTGCAATGTCGCCCCCCTCAATATGTTGCAGTTCCAGATACCTACTCACTTGGTTATTGACCGATGTTCGGGCCAGGCACTGACCGGCCAATATGCAATGTCGCGCTCAGCCAATGGCATTTGTGTGTGACGCGAACATGACACCGTTCACTGATTGGATAATTACGTGAGGAAGACATACCGATGCCAACAATCAAAGACAGTGTTACTGGACTTAAAAATGTGCGATCGTCTATCGATCCGAACGCGTTGGAAATCCCGGATCAGCCAAATACAACTCAGAGCTCCATGACCGGATTACTTGGTATTTCAAGAAAAGCTATTTACAGTAATATATCCCATCGAACCACCATCCGATAATTTGTGAACGCTGCAGCATCTCAGGAAAAGATGTCACCTGAAAACCAAGGAAAAGTTCAAGACAGTGAATGAGGCGAGCTTGGCTTAGTTTACTGCCATGAGAGAAAGCAATTCAGATAGCACAAAGAATGCACTGCCGGGACCTCAACGATTGCAAATGTTGGTTTCGCTCTTAGTTAGACAGATGCGATATTCAATCCTACAGTGTAAGAGACAAGCAACTACTGGTGTACGTTACTTTAGAGGTTTAAGGGGAAAGTTTGGCGGTACCACCTGATGCACTGAACGAGTTTCGAGCGGGGTTAACACAGTAGTTGATCGATGGTTATGCTGACTGTGATATTTTCACTTAACATCAAACAGTTTTACGTTACAAGCAGCTCCCAGAAAGAACATTAAGTCTCAAAGGAAAAAGCAGTTTCAGGATCCAAGAAATCCAAAGAAAGTCACGTTACTGCATAACTGGAAAAAGTTATCCCCGTTGGTTATTGTAAAATTTCAAACTCCACGATACCTCAGAGGCATATATATATATATATATATATATATATATATATGTATATATATATAT